AAACGAGATGTTTCCAAGCCTCGGAAAATTGTCCACAAACAAGGAAGGGTGCGCTCCTCGTTCAAGGTTGATTTGAGCAAGAAAGCTGATGGTCTGGCTGCCACCCGCCGTGGCAAAAGGGCTGAGCGAGTTGGAGAGGCTCGGCACCCAGGTCCATGTAGTGACAGTCTCAGTTCCTTAAAGTGTTGGTCTGTTAACTGCAGATCTTGGAAGCGACATGGTAATGATTTGTTGCTGACTGCTGCCATTAGTGGAGTAAAGATCCTCATGATCCAAGAACATGGGCTGACGACAGCTGAGTTGGGAGTGACAATGAGAGATGTGCAAAAAGCCGGGTGGCAAATGTTACCCCTCCCCGCAAATAGCTTAGCAAATGGGGGCAGAGGCGGCATCGCTATTTTGGTCCGGGAGCCTTTAGCTGCTTTGAAAATTTCTGATGTCACGCTCGAATCTGGCCAAATCCTTAGTGCCGAAATTTTTGGCCTCGGACATCCCCTGAGGGTTGTTTGCCTGTATCAACGTAAGGCAGGCCAAGAAGAATTCCTCAATTTTTTCCAACAGAATGCTGTTTTCTTCAATAGGGGCTGCTGGATTGTTGGTGGTGATTTCAATGAAAATGTGCAACATGGCACCGTGGCCAACTTCCTCAGGCAACACGGAGGTGATCTGATTTCCAAAGGTAGGTATATCCAAAATACCAAGGTTTCTTGGGAACACGTTCCTGCGGAAGATGTGAACGTTCGGTTTATCGATGGCATTTTCTTTAATGGCCCGTGTTTCAAGCTTCCTTTGGTTCAGGAACTTCCTCCTGTTGGTGCTGACCATACCATTCCTGAAGCTACTTTTTTCGTTGATTTATCCCCGGGTGAGAAAGAATTCCGTATGGCCCGTCATCGAAAACGTTGTGAAATGCAGGAAGGTGTCACTAGACCGGACATCCAAACCTCCTTTTGTTCTTGCGAGATCTGGAATCGTGTTTTGCTTGAAGATGTCAACTCCGCCTGGCACCAATGGTGCCTCGACGCTGAATCCTGTTTAATCCGCCTTGGACTTTTAGAGCCTTCCGCTGCAGAAGTCGCTCTTGGGCAATATTCATTTAGAGAAGGTGGGGCTAGAATGGCTCCCAGCCAAAGACACCGAGAAAGAGAACTGCGCCGTATCCTCAGACTTTTGCAGGAAGCACAGTTAAAAAAGGGTCGAGGCCAGACGGTGCCTAACAGTTTGCGTCGCAAGCTTAATAGTTTGCCCGGTACTGTGTGGCAGCTTGCCCGCCAAAATGCTTGGGGCCCAGCAATCCAGAGAGTTCAGCAAGATCTCCAAACTTTCCTGTGCAATGAACAAACCCGTAAATCCCAGAAGTGGAAACAAGACATGTCCCATTTGCCTTCCGCTATTAAATGGATTCAAAATACTGCAGCCCCAGCGCCATGGCTTCTTCGTGGCAATGGCCAAACTACGACCTGCCGGGCTAGCGGTGCCAAACTGCTGTCTCAAGTTTGGGCTCCAATTTTTGGTGTGGGCCATGATGACCAAACCGCGTGGCAAAACTTCCAGAGAGCTTATGGGCCTTTCCTTGAACCTCCTCACGGAGACGAACTGCCGGAGCTCCAACCCATCTCAGCCAGCTCCCTTCAGAGGGTCGCCAACAAGATGAAAAGGTCCTCTGCAGGAGTCGACGGATGGGATGCCACTCTTTTGTCCCATCTACCTCCTGAGGGTTGGGACAGACTTGCCCAATTGCTTAACCGATGCGAAGAAAAATCTGAATGGCCGACCTCGTTGAAAGTGTGGAAACTCGTTTTCATTCCAAAGGGCAAAAGCGACTCAGCACAAACTGCAACAGATGCTCTTCAAGTTCGTCCCATAGCCGTGGGCAGTCTCATTTACCGCCTGTGGGGGAAGGTGAGATTGCAACAACTGGCTCCACATTTGACAAACCACTTGGCCCCCTTTCAATCAGGGGGTAACGCCGGCCCGGATGTGGAGAGCATGTTGGTTTCCTTAGCTTTGGATTTCCCTAGTGACACATATCAATATGCCATGGCTCTCGATTTTAGTAAGGCCTTTGACAGCACTGACGCCTTTACTGCTTTGGAAATTCTCAAACTGTGGAAAATCCCTTCGGCCATTGTTGGGTTACTTGCTGCCCAGTGGTTTGGTCATTCTCGAATTTCAAGCTTCGGCGGGGCCGTTTTTCCCCACGAAATGACCGGAACTTGTGGTTTACCTCAAGGGGACCCTTGGAGCCCCTTGAGCATGGCAGCAGTGCTTGCAGCTCCATTGCGAAAGTTACAACAAGAACACCCTGGAGTTGGCCAGATGTTATATTTAGACGATCGAACTATTTTGGGGCGTAGTGTAGCTGACATCCGAGCGGTGCAGTCGGCTTGGAATGAACTTTCAGATGTCACCCGGCTCCAGACGCATCCCCAAAAGACGCAGCTTTGGGGGCGAACCCAGGAAGCAAAACGGTACCTGCAATCATCCAATGAAGCTGACGTGAAAGATTGTGGTGAAGTCCTTGGTGCGGTTGATGGGTTGGGAAGCAATCATCCGAAGGAAGAAGCTCGCAGAGAAACAACCCGTCAGAGAGCTCGTCACATCATGAGCTTGCCTATTTCCCAGCGAACCAAGCAGCTGCTTGCTAATGCCTTGCTCACCCCGCAAGCGGTGTGGGGCATTTTCAATACTGGAAGACCTTGCACTCAAGAGCAGCTGTTGGAATTTACCAAATGTTTTCGTGAATCTGTTCGTGGCAGCGAAAATAGGGGAGACCGTAGTTCCCGCCCGCTCCAGAGAGTTTTTCTGCTAGGGCATACATGTGACTTGGCTTTGGTGGCTTGCTCTCGGTTTATGAATGCACTGAACAGGTGGACCCTGCTCCGCATAAAACAAGGTTGGTTTGTCCCTTCTCCTCGCGCGCCTATCCCACCAGTGATGCAATATGTCTCTTCGTTCCTGACGGAATGGGGTTGGCACTTGGAAGATTGGGGCAGATGGTCTGGCCCGTCCGGATCTTTCGATGCTCGGAACAGCAAGCAAGTCAATTTGAAAGCTATGCATGATCTCAGGACCGATTGGAGACTTACTCAGATGAAAACGTGGCAAGATTCCAATCGAATTGATGCAATTTGTGCCAGAAGGAACAATTTGCATCTGACCGCTGTGCTTTTGGACAAGTTGAGAAAAGTTGCAAAAAAAACGTCCATCGATGGGATAGCTGTGATGTGTGGGGGCGTTTGGAGCCAAGCTGTGGATCGTTTTGGAGACCGACAGATTCGTCCGACTTGTCCGTATTGTTCCTCGGAAGTGGTTCCCGAACTCGAACACATTTACTGGTTTTGTAATGCTTTTGATGTGTCTAGGAACATGTCCCCTCCTAGAAAGTCTGCTAGCTAGACGTTTGGGGTGGGATGACAGTTTGTCTGAGTCGCAATGCCTCAGCCTGGTCAATCAGATGGCCGCTATCCGCAGAACTGAGGTTTCTCTGAGGTCAAACTCCCTTCGCGGGGGAAACATACCAAGGTTCGAGTCGCTGCCCGACTGCCTGGCAGCTCCTCAACATGACAGTGCAGCTGCTGCTCCTGCTGCTGCGAGCCGCGATGTTGCAGCCGGTGAGTGCGCTCAGAGGGCGTCTTCTACTGCGCTTAGGGTAGACCATGGTGTTCGTTCTCAGACCAGCTCCGGTCAAAATCAGTTTAAAAGCCAAGTGAAGATGGCTGAGAGTCTGTTTGTTGCTGACCAATTTTTGGAGGAAAGGCCACAAAAAGATGCCGTCAAGACCCTGGAGGCTAAGAAGTGCAAGTGTTACAGGAGCTATGTTTCACATATTGTTGAGCGTTATCAACTGAGAAGAGCTTTGCCTAACAGAGGGCCTCTGACGCTGTTGGTTTTTGGTCCCCGGATGAAACAAGAGAAGCCTAAAAGAGCCCTTTACAAGAAATGGACGCCTGTGTGGCGCAAGAATTTTGAGCGTGCGTGGCTTAAGCCTGCGTGGCTTGCCTTCGGCTTGAATTCGTGTCAGAATTCGTGTCCGAATTCGTGTTTTTTAATTTTGGACTGGATGCCCACTATCTCCTGGAGATCCGTGGCCAATTTTGTCTCCTCCTTTGGAAACACCTTTGTAGGCCGCCAAATTGGGGCCCCCCAGGGTTTCATACCGGGCGTGCTGCGTTGCTGCAGCCATGATCGTGGAGCCTAGCTCCACCTTTCCTGCCTCTAACCCGTGTCAGGTTGAGGTACTCACCGTTCGCGCTCGCATCTCGGCATCAACACATTCTACCCTCTGGTAAACATACAAACAGCTATTGAAAATGGTGATTTATAGTTGTTTAGCCATTAAAAATGGAAATTTTTCATAGTTATGTCAGTTTACCAGAAGGTACCGGTATATTCCCATTAGAATGTATTTTGGATCCCAATAGCTTTTGGCCATCAATCCTATATATCACCACTAACTATATCACCACTATATATCACCATTGTATTCCCATTATATTACCATTATATCACCACTATATCCTTTTTTTTTCGGTTGGTTACATACCATTAACCCACTATATCACCACTGATTCATTATATATACCAGTATATTCCCATTATATTCCCATTATATTACCACTATATACTGTTTTTTTCGGTTGGTTACATACCATTAACCCACTATATCACCACTGATTCATTATATATACCAGTATATTCCCATTATATTACCATTACCCTCTGGTTATTTAACATAGCCATGGAAAATCCACCCATTTTTAAGAACGGTAAACCATCGAACTAAATGGGCCATTTCCCATGGGAAATATCACCACTATATGCCTTTTATATTATATTCCATATTATATTATATCACCATTATACTGTATCACCATTCTATTGGGTGATACCATTATATCACTATTATATTATATCATCATAGTGGTAATCACTATATACCAATATATTCCCATTATATTCCCATTGTCCAATTGATGTGAAACGCTCAGCCTTTCCAGGAGAGGGAAGAACTCCAAGCCCTGCTGGATTGGAGTGAGACGCTGGGGATCGACAAGGCGAAGTTGGTGGGAATGGCGAGCATGGCCAGCGGGGTGGTCGGGGCTTCGCTGCTGATCGTAGTTGGTGGTGACTGGAACCATGGAATTTTGGTGGTGGCTTTCCAGAAACAGTTGGGAATAGGCTATAAACCAACAATGGGAATATGATAGGAATACTGGTTGCTGCTTTGGAACATGTTTTTTTCCATATTAATTGAGAATGTCATCATCCCAACTGACGTTCACTCCATCATTTTTCAGAGGGGTAGGTCAACCACCAACCAGAACAATACTGGCGGGTTTCACACAGCATCAATGGGGTTTAAAGAATGATAGACTAAACCACTAAAATACTGAAGAATTGGGCCTTAATCAATAGAGACAATTTATGGGTTTGTCACCGTTTGTCTGAAAGTAACCCATTCCATCTGTATATCATCACTATCGAAGTTAAAGTGGCAATTTGGGTTTATATCCCATTTCCAGACACACCCATATATTGATTGTATATGTATACATAAATATATTATACATATTCATACTCATATACAATAATTATACTATCTATATCTCCATATATATATATAAATAAGTAATCATATGTACGGTAACGACATTCAAATATGTTGAGGGCGGGCGAGACCGCGACGCCCCGGAGGTAGTATGAAACACCAGTTCCATCCGTGTATTTAAATGTATGTGCAAACAAACTAGATTCCGTATGTTTAAATGGCCGGGCTTCGTATATATACATACACCCCCCTTTCGGATGAGCTTCCCAGACACAAGATACATCAATATTCATACAATATATCTACAAATACACATACTTAATCACATACAACATATATATATATATATGGGTAAATTTCATCACGACCTCACTGCGACTGAGCCCTGGAATCATGGTCAATAAGGGAAATCATCTCCAAATGGCTTTAACTCAGGTTAGTGAAATATTATAATTTACCCACATATATATATACTGTACATACATATATAGGTGTATTCCATGTACATCCCACATGGATGGGGATTCCAATCTCCCAAAAAACAAGTTCCAGGATTTGGCGAAAGAGCTGCGCGGAGCCTGGCACGCTGTGCCGCGGCAGAGAATTTTTTCATCCGGGCCGTTGGTTGAAATTGGGAAAATGTGGGGAAAATGAGATGAGAGTCCATAGTCTGATCCAATCATAGTGGTCTAACCCCCTCCAAAATTATGTTTTACCCAGCCAAATGGGGAATTAACTTTGATTTAATCATCAAACATAAGGTTTTGACTAGTGATTAATGATATTTTCATGGATTTGGGCTTGTCTGAAAATGTGGTTACACTCAAAAATGGATTATTAATGATATTAATGATATTAATGGCTTATTAATGGATTAAACCAAATGTGGTTACACTCAAAAATCATCCAACAGATGTCCGCTTGTTTTGGGACAATTATGATCAACCAGTGTTGTTTTGTCTGTTTTTTTCAACATTTTCAAAGCCAGATGATGCATTCCAAAACGTGTGACGTATTTTTTTTGCATCCATTTAGCGACTGTCCTATACTATATACACATACATGTATTGTATATACCCAACATAAAGCAACATATAACATACACATGTTTTTATAATATATCATGATGATCATAATATATATATATATACACATCTTTCTCGGCGATTTGAAGCTCAGCTGCTCACCTACGTGACACTTGGAATTCCGATGCAATCTTAGATGCTTCTTTGCATGTCTCTGAGGCACAATCGATGTGATAATTGGAATAAAAAGTGGAGAAAACATATTCAAACACCTGCAAAGAACCATGCAAGTGTGAAGCACTTGGCTATATAGAGGCGGTCTCTCTCACTGTACCTTGGCTTGTCTCCACTGTTCCATCTGCTAGTGAAGCCTGCAGTGGCCACAGGGCCCTACTCTTTATACATAAATAACCAAATATTATATATCGATGATACATACCCTATTCTTTATTTCTACATAGATATTCATTTAAACATCCTCAATTTTTAATGAGTTCCTTCTGGTTTCCTGGTTGTTTTCGGTTTTCTTTAAAGTTGCTCATCCGTTTTCCTGCAGAAATCCATGGTTTTCCCTCGGGTTTTCCAGATTTTCCTCAGAAATCCATGGTTTTTCCTCGGTTTTTCCAGATTTTCCGTGGAAATCCCCGGGTTTTTTCGCCCCAATGGGCGTCAAACCGAAACGGCCCAGGTGGCCATGTCCTCGCGGCTGGGCGTCGTGGAACGCTCGGCGCTGCTGGAGACGTTGCCCTCGGCGCCCGCGGAGCTGGTGCAACGCTTTGCGCACGCCATGGACCGAGCAAAGACAGGCGAAATGGAGAGATAAACATGGTGATATCATGGTGATTTAATGGTATTAATAGTGGTATGAATAGTGATTAATAGTGGATAGCCATGGATGATATTGTATCTGCCATGTTGATATATATATATATATCACTATAGAATATCAACCAGAATATAGTATATTTATAGTGATATTCTATATGATTGGTGATTTCTCCTATAATCTATAGTGATTTTAAAAAACGGATGATAATTATATATATATATCACTATAGAAATCTATAGAATATCATATATTAATACCACTATTAATTCTTATTAACCACTATTAAACATGGTGATATCATGGTGATTTAATGGTTTATAAGGGAAAATTTAATGGAATATACACACATATGCATATGATTAAAACATGGTGATATAAAACATGGTGATTTTCCATAGTTCTGTTAGTTTACAGATTTTAAAAAACGGATGATAACTATATATATATCTCACTATAGAATATCATATATGAATGGCACTATTAATTCTTATTAACCACTATTAGTACCACTATTCGTACCCTCTGGTGATATCATGGTGATTTAATGGTTTGTAAGGGAATATATATATATATATTTAATAGTGGTATTAGTAGTGGTATGAATAGTGATTAATAGTGGATAGCCATGGATGATATTGTATCTGCCATGTTGATATATATATATATATGTATCATATGATATTATATCATATATATTTACATAGTGGTATAAATAATAGTGGTATTAATGATGTTTATATATATATATTTAGTAGTGGTATTAATAGTGGTTAATAGGGTATAAATCAACAACAACGGGGGAATATGATGGGAATACTGGTTGGTGGTTTGGAACATGACTTTTATTTTTCCATATATTGGGAATAATGATCCCAACTGACTTTCATATTTTTAAGAGGGTTGAAACCACCAACCAGAATATAGTATATTAATAGTGATATTCTATATGATTGGTGATTTCTCCTATAATCTATGGTGATATATGGAATGATATTGATACTGTATTAATGGTGATTTAATGGTTTATATGGGAATATATATATATATATATATACATTGTGGTAGTATTAGTATGGAAATGTATGAAATACATATAGTGGTAGTATTAATGGGATATAATTGATGGTGATTATGATATTAATGATTAATGGTCATATGAATTGATATTTACCATATTATTAGTGGTGATAATGGTGAGATTGTTAGTAATCAATCATATGCTGGTGATGTTAATGGTGATATACCTGTATATAATGGATATTAATAATATCGAATGGTTTATATGGTATATTATTACAATGAATTATATATGGAATATAATTATAATGTATGGAAATGTATGGAATATAATGTATATGCATATTATTTATAGTGGTATATAGTATTAATGGGATCTAATGGTGATATAGTGGGTATTTTTACTAATGATAGATATATATTAATGGATATAATGGTATACTATATTGTAGTGTGATACATTCCATTATTAGTGGTGATATTCCATTCTTCCATATATGGGATACTTGATTTAAATGGACATATAAATGGAGATAAATGGTATAATGGATTATAATGGGATATTCGTTTGCTTTTTTTGGTGATACAATGATTGCATATATATATATATAAGTAATATTCCATTCACCCATTATTAGTGGTATAAAGGGATATATAATAATTAACCAATATAATTAACTAACAATAATATTATATAATAGTAATATTCCGTATTATTCCATTATTACGGACATTTGTAATGATACATACGATTGTATGGTAAGGTCCATTAATGAATATATACTGGGATACAATGGGAATATTAGGGATATAATGATGATCAAATGGGATATAATGGTGATTATGATATGAATGGAGAGATAATCATGGATATTGCCTGTATATAATGATTATACTGAACCTAAAAATGGTATAATTAATGGGATGGTTGTGGGTATTATACAATGATTTTAATGGTGATATGATGTATGGAATATTAGTGGGAATAGAAATGGTATATTATTCCAATATTTGATATATGGATGGGAATATAGTGGTGATATGTATGGGTCTTAATGGTGATATGTATTTACAGTATATATATATATACATACATAGTAGCGACGGATCCTGGCACACACAAGACAAGGGAGATATCATCGCGCACGCAGTCACACAAGCCGCCAAGCAACATTTCACAAGGGTTCCCATGACTCAAAAGAAAGATTATCTATCAGACCGTACCTGGCAACTAATTCTTCAAAAAGAAAAGGCGATTGAAGATGGCAACTTTTATCTGTTACCTCAACTAAATAAAGACATAAAACGATACGCGAGACAAGACAGAGAAACTGCAACAATAAGACAGCTGGAAGAAGCAGATGCACAAGGTTATAAATGGGAAGGATTAAAGGCAGCGCGTAAAACGTTTCAACCTCGACGTACTAAATTCAAAAACAAACATGGACAAATCATCAAAGAATCCGATTTTGCTGACGAAGCTGCTACGTATCTGGAAACAGTACAATGGGCACCGCCCGCAGATGATGACATTAACCTTTCATACGAAGACCAATATATTTGTTCTGGAGAGACATGTATGACGGACGAAAATTTTACTAAGGCAGAATTAGACCATGTCCTTAAAACGCAAAAACACGGCAAAACACCTGGGCCAGATAATTGCCCAGCCGAATTCTTTCAATGGCTCAACCACGGAAACAGACATATTCTGCTTGAATGTTTTAATGACATTCTAGACAGGGACATATACCCTGAAAGCTTTAAATTGGCAAACATTGTCTCGATTTACAAAAAGGGAGATGCAACACAGATGAAAAATTACAGACCTATAGCACTCCTACAAACGCTATACAAAATTCTTGCAGGACTTATCAAAAACCGCCTTTTACAAGCATATGATCCATGGATACAAAGAAGTCAATTCGGTTTCAGACCAAAGAAATCCACAGCTCAGGCCATCTTTCTTGCCCGACGCCTGATGGACATCTCAGAACGTACAGGGTCAAATCTATCTTTGGTTCTATTGGATTGGAAAATGGCTTTTGATAAAGTAAACCAATCAAAACTTCTACAAGCTCTTCGTAGATTAAAGGTACCGCCCAGGATGCTTAAAACCATTGAACATATCTATTCTTCTCCTAAATTCAGAGTCGCAACCGGCGGACACAGTTCTAATTACAGAACACAACGTTCAGGAATTAGACAAGGTTGTCCTTTATCACCCTACCTCTTCGTTATCCTAATGTCAACCCTTTTCCATGATATCAAACAAAGACTGACCACACCAAAGCAAAAAGAACCTCTAAATGGTATTGAATATACTGAAATATTGTATGCGGATGACACACTTATCTTTGGGAATTATACTCATCATATCAACCTGCTGCTAAAGGAAATACAGCTAGAATCAAAATATTACAATATGGAATTGAACTTAGACAAATGCGTAAACCTCACACTAAACCAAAAACAATCATCCATCAAATACTTGGACGGCACACCGGTCCCGAGAAAAAGGTCAGCCTTCTATTTAGGTACATTGCTCACTGACACCGTGGACAACCACAGAGAGATTATGAACCGGATTGCTGATTGTACCCGTACATGTAATCAACTCAAATTATTTTGGAACAAAGCGAAGACATCCATCAAATGGAAAGTTCAAGTTTTTCATTTTATCCTCAGAAGTAAGCTGTTATACGGTTTAGAAACCATACAGTTAAATTTGACAGATCAGAAAAGAATAGATAGTTTTCAGTTGAAGGGATATCGAAGGATCCTACATTTACCCCCCACATATATCGACCGCACAATAACAAATGATTTTGTCAAATCTCAAATTAGAAACCACATGAACACGGACCTAAGAATGTTCTCCTCCATTTGGCAACAACGCAAACTTTCCCTTCTTGGTCATATTTTCAGATCTGCGCCTAGTGACCCTATGAGACAAGTTCTGTTTGAAAAAGGAACTTTAATTCCAAGATTGGAATTTCGCAAGCGACCCGGAAAACCTCGACAACAATGGTTAACAACAACATATGATGATGCTTATCAAACTCTGAACCAACCACACCCATTTGACATAGATAATCCTGCGCATAGACAGATAGTCAACGACCTAGCTTGCCAGAGAATTGGAGTCTTCTCGTGATCCATCACCGAAAATCGTCACCGAAATCATCACCGAAAATTGTGGCAAATCGTCACCGAAAATCGTCACCGAAAATCATCACCGAAAGCAAAGGGCTTTCTCCCTGCCCTGCCAATATCACAGTGGGTATTGGGATTACTTTTGTCTCCCCCTTGACATCTTTAAGTTGTTTCTAATTTCTTGTTTGTCTCCTACACCAACGTTTTTTTTGACATGGCACTGCAAGGTAGAGATCAGTTTCACCCCCCTGGCACAGTATTTTTTGCATGATTACGTTGGATTCTGCGCTCAGCCTGTCTGGCCTGCGCTTGGCAAAATACATAGTAGCGACAACCGACAATCATGGTAATGTAATAGGAATATCATGGCAATGGTCATGGTATATATGTGGGATATGAATGGTAACAATGGGTACATTAGGGATATAATGGTGATATGATGGTGATATAATGGTGATCTATACATATATATATATATAATGGATGGAATAGACGCGGAATATCAGTGATATATAATGCCAGTTAATGATACTGTATATTGGTGGGATATTAATGGAATAGAATACAACGGGATTTTAATGGAGTATCTATATAGAGAATAGTACTGGTGATATTAATGGGAATATCATGGGAATGGGATGTGAATTGGGATATTACCCTCTGGTAAACTGAAATAACAATGGAAAATCACCATTTTGAATGGGAAAATCAACTATAAATGGCCATCTTAATGCTTCGTATTAGGAAGAGTAACTATCCCAAAATGACCTTGAAAATATGTGGTGAAAATCCTCCAAATGTTGAGCAGGTTTCAGGCTGAAAAGGTGGTGGAACTCAGATACATAAAAAAGGGGTTTCCCTATTATCTCATCATTTTCCTATAAGCCTATAATCCTTTTTTGTCCTCTAGTATCCCTCTGTTATTCCTTTCGAAAAACCACAAAATTCTACAATTTTCTCCTCTTATCCCACAATTCTCCATGATATTCCCTATTATTATCCCATAGTATCCCCATATTATCCCTATCAAAAACGCCCATGTCCCATGTCGCCTTTTTTTTCCATGGACTTCCCCGGCACAGGCACCGTATCTGCGCGCGAGTGGATGCAAGATTTTGCCATCTGCCTGCAGGGCTCCTTGGACCAGCGAAAGGACCTGGTCTTCCGCACCTTGGACGAAGCTGACCACGGAATCTTCGGAGCTGGTCTTCGGATACCCTCTGGTGATGTCAAATGGCTATTGACAATGGCAATTTATAGTGAGTTTTCCCATTAAAAATTGTGATTTTCCATAGTTGGGTTAGTATATCACTGTAGGGATTACCTTCGGGTAAACTAACATAGCGAGCTGGACAATCACCAGTCTTACCCTCTGGTAATGACTAACATAGCTATTGAACATAGCCCATTTATAGTGAGTTTTCCCATTGAAAATGGAGATTTTCCATAGTTGGGTTAGTTTACCAGAGGGTAGCTGGATATGGATAACTGGATACCATAACTGGTTGGTGGTTTGGAACATGAATTTTGTTTTCCCCCAATAGTTGGGATGATGATCCAATCTGACTAATATTTTTCAGAGGGGTTGAAACCACCAACCAGATAATGTGATGACTATGGTAATGACCAAGAACCATGGGATATATAATGGGAATATAAGGGATATAATGGTAGTATTGGTGGTGATATAATGGGACCATGATGGAATCTGGTATCTGAACATGGCTATCTTCGGCTAACATGGTGAATATTAAAGATTACTAAAGTGGATAGCCATGGATGATATTGCATCTGCCATGTTGATATATCTTAAGTTACCAATCATCTGAACCACTTCAGATATCATGTTCATTGGTTATAATATCTGGTTGGTGGTTTGGAACATTTTTTATTTTTCCATGTGTTGGGAAGAATCATCCCAACTGACTTTCATATTTTTCAGAGGGATAGGTCAACCACCAACCAGATATGTTATAATAAAATCACCATTTTTAATAGGTAAACCGTCTATAAATGGTACGTTTTCCATAGCTATGTTGGTTTACTGGAGGGTAATTAAAGGGATGTCATACTACTTGGGATTGATACCTCATCTGCCTTGGGGATATACCCGGTAATTTTTTGCGCTAAACGCGAACGGGTGCAAATCATCATTTGTAAAGAAGGGTCACACATCAGAAACCATCTACCCTCTGGTAAACATACAAAATTCTATTGAACATGGCCATAGAAATAGTTGATTTACCCATTAATAGCATGGTGGATCTTTCCATAGTCATGTAAATTCTTTACCAGAGGGTAACTATATAAATGAGCCATGTTCCATGCCTATTTTTTTTTTAATAACCAGAGGCTACCACCAACAATTCAGAGGATTTTTTCATGTGAGTTACTCTTCGGAATGATTATTTATTGGATAATACGGGTCTACTGGAAGATACGGACACCTACCCTCTGGTTATGACTAACATAGCCATGGTATAGATGGCCCAGAGAAATAGATGGTTTACCGTTCTTAAAAATGGGTGGATTTTCCATGGCTATGTTAAATAACCAAATGGTATTTTTTGCAATAACAATTGGTTTGTTTGAACATATTACTCTGGATTGTTTTTTTACTTCACAAAGTTCGAATATGTTCGACATGGATCTGAAAATAAGCTACCCCCACATCCTAGTCTTATGATCATTTCCCAGTTAGGTATCCTCAATATATATTTGTCTGAAAATGGGGGCTTCATACGCAATATATTTTAACATGCCATATCTTGGGGATGGCTCCCTGATCTGCCAGGCATGTTTGCGGACGACTCGGGAAGCATCCCACTGGCGGCAGCAGCAGAGTTGACGAATCTCGGGGCATTTTTCGGAATTTTGATCCCAAAATCTGAAGAAAAGGTGGGTGAACTACCGCATTTAGAGATTTTTCGCACATGTAGAGATGCTGCAAGGTGTGTTGAAAAACCGACCCCGTTGTGCAACTGAGAACACGGCAACTGCTCACCACCATGACCTGATTGAGCAAGGGATGAGCAATATCAACACCAAGAACAACAAGAACAATAGCTGCTCATAACAACAATAACAATAAATGATAGATAGACATATTAATGTCAAAAACAGTCACAGGAACTTTTGCACACATCAATGCATAATATATATATATATGTACGTATATATATATATATATATGTATGTATACATATATATATATATGTATATATATATATATATATGGATATATACACATAATATATATATATACATATCATCAGGGATGAATTCCCTAAGAACCCGACGATGCTGAGGAAATGGGGTCAAGCTGCCGTTTCGGTTTTTTCGGAGTGCGGGCCTGAGGATTGGTGAACCGAGCGAAAAGTTATTTTTTCCCAAAAAAATAAGGAGCTATTGTAAGGAACAATGATACCATATACCCTCTGGTAAACTAAAATAGCTATTGAAAATTGCCATTTATAGTTGATTTACCCATTGAACATGGTGATTTTCCATAGTTATGTTAGTTCACCAGAGGGTAGTACCTTTGGTTATCCATATATCATATATCTGCATATATATATATATATATCTGTAACTAGGACTTGAATTTGCCAACCATATGATAGCCAGAGTGAAATATAGGGAATCTGGACTTTTTTTTTGGATGTTTTTGAATGAAAGATCCATTGAACAACGCTTTTTCAGATGCACATTTCCTTTGCTTGGAAAAGGGCTTGCCGGGAAATGTTGAGAACGGAGGCTCCACCGTAAAATCAATCCCTTGACAGCACAGTATGGCCTGGTTTCCCCGTGGTAATCCCATAGCAATCCCATCATTCTATCCTGATATAATCCCATTACGCTTCCATTTAAAATCCCCATCTATAATCCATTTATTATCCATATCCCTGCACGAATCCATGTTTGCTGATGAAATTCCCATTTTAAGCGATAATTATTGCATTCAAGATTCACATTGTGAGTTGGTTTCCCATAGTATACTCATAATCCCACTAGATCCCACTAGTATAATCCCACTATCCAACAGCTACAGCTACCAGTTTCAGAACTGATTGTCTATCTTGATTGGTTAAATCAGACTATCATAAGTCTCTGGCAATGACACATGGCTGGCTTTTTCAAATCTTCGAACTATTTCTGGGGGATATTCCCATTGAATCATCATCCTGCCACCATTTTTTATATCACCATGATATTCCCATTCTATCACCATGATCCCTGATGGGATTACATCTCCACTATATATAGACATCTCCAGAAAGAGTTGTTAATCCCTATACTTCAATTAGATTCCGATTTACTGGTGCATACATATACATATTCCCATGATTTTCCTATATGACCAGTATATCACCATTGTATATATATATATTTATATGTATGTATGTACATATTACAATTCCATTGTAATCTCTAATTCCCAGTATATTCCCACTATATTCCCATCGTATCACCACCTTTGTATCATCATTATTGTTGATTATATATCCCATTCATTCCTACTAATCCCCAGCAATCCTCCTACTGTAGCCATTCGTCCTCTATATCATCACTACATATCACCATTGTTGTTACTTAAATTCCACAGAATTCCTAGGAATCATATACTGTTGGTTGTCTAATTATTATATCTGATTCTCATTTATTATTATATTATTATATTACTATTATTATTATAGATTATTATTATTATTACAAATTATTATTATTTTATTATTATCACATCCTCATATTCAGATCATATCCATCCCTTCATCCGGTACGCAAGGCCCCCCCCCCAGGCGGCGCCCCAACACAGAGCCCCGCAACGGCGCCGGAAGTTCCAGCGGAAGCGCGGCGTCCGCGCTCGCCGCGCCCCGCTTGGCGAAGCAAACCTCGGAGCAGTGGAGCGCGGATTCGGAGCAGATCGCGCAGGCGTTGTGGGCGGCATTTTGGTGGAAATTTCTATAAGGGATAATATGGGATTCCAGAAAAGTATATGAGATGCCACCATATGGGATAATATGGAAATCCCATTCTATTTGGGATATTCCCTATTTTTCTTGGGACTTGAATGGGATTTCATAAGGGATTTTCCAGGATGTCATATGGATTTCATAGGGATTTGATGCATGGGACTTGACGAATGGGATTTTTTTGTTTGGGATTTCATGACGGACATGGATGGATTGCAATGGAACTACAAGGGCCCCCCAAACGCTATAAGTTGCTTTATAACCCCGTCATACCCCAACTAACTATAGTTATATCCCCGTCATAAACACCATAGTGACGTCGCTACTAGTTAAACCAAGTTATAAGTCAACTTAGCAAACTATGGGGCCCCCTTCCTGTAGGGATTTTATAGGGATTCAAACTTCCTTATCAATTTCATCACGACCTCACGTCGCGACGTCACTGGAATAATGGTTACTAAGGTGTAACGTGCAACTATCACCAACATGTTCTTATTATTTTATTTGAGGCTAGTGAAAACTTATAATTTACCCGGATGTGTGGCTTCAAAAGTATCGATAGTCCGATAGTTTCCCAACCCAGGATGACCGCAAGACATGTACCATGTTTTGACCCGGATGCACATGTATGGCTGGGTCCAAAGTTTCTATATTTCATAGACATATGTCATAGTGTGACTGAAAATGCTGGATTTAGCCCCCCAGTGGTAAGTTTTACGTATGACATGATGACCGATAGTGGATGGAATGGGCTACCCTATTTTCAGACAATGTGCAGCCAAGTGGATGTGAAATTGAGATTCCCACCTGCAACCACTGAATAGAATATACACACACACATACATACATACATACATACATACATATATATATATATACATATACATATACATATACATATACATATACATATACATACATACACATACATACACATACATACACATACATACACATACACATACACATACATACATACATACATACATACATACATACATACATACATACATACATACATACTTACATACACATACATACACATACATACACATACATACACATACATACACATACATGCACATACATGCACATACATGCACATACATACACATACATACACATACATACACATACATACACATACATGCACATACATGCACATACATGCACATACATACACATACATACACATACACACATGCATGCATGCATGCATGCATGCATACATACTTACATACATACATACATACATACATACACATACATACACATACATACACATACATACACATACATACACATTCATGCACATACATGCACATACATGCACATACATGCACATACATGCACATACATGCACATACATACACATACATACATATACATACACATACATACACATACATACACATACATACACATACATACACATACACACATGCATGCATGCATACGTACGTTCCTTGATTTTCTGAAGATGATTTTCTATTTTCCCAAGGGGAAATCTAGTATATAGGGACTCTATCGGGAATATCAGGTGTTCCTTAAGCAAACCAAAGTATTAAAAACAACATAGAGGTGTGTCTGAAAATAGTGTAGCCCTAAACCCAATGGTTAATGATCATTATCCCTATTAAATGGCTATAATTGGGAATATACACTATTTTCAGACAAACCCATATATATATATATATATTACAGGTATACAACCAGGAGCAAAGATTGAAGGGGTTGAAGAACCAGCGATTTGAACAAATACGGCGGTAAAATGAGGGCAGTTAAACTTTCCATGGTTTTGTTTGAAATGAAACCAAAGTTTTCTCCATGTGGAGCATGGGTGGATCCACAGTTTCTATCTCAAAGTGGGGATGAATCAAAACCTACTAGGCTATTTTGTTAAAATTTCGATGCGCATTTGCCAGCTATTTTTGGGCTTCACCAGGGAAGCATGCCATGACCCATGGCCAGAAGCCAAGGTCTATGGCTTGTTGTGCTGTGTTGATCTCTCCCAGATGACTTTTCTTTAGTGCTCAATGACATTTCCATCGGAGATATGTATATATCTGGGTAAATTAATAAGGGAAATCATCCCCAAATGGCCTGAATTCAGGTTAGTGAAATATTGTAATTTACCCATATATATATATATACACAGTATATGTATATATATATATACATACACATATGCATATATATATATACATATGCATATATATATATATACATATGCATATATATATACATATATATATATATATGCAGTATATATATATATGCAGTATATATATATATATATATGACCTTTATCCGGATATGTGATGTTCAATTCCGAATTCAAGTTGGGGCCTAGATAGCTGAGTTGACTTACAACTTGGTAGGGTCTATGGAGGATATAACTGTAGTTAATGGGGTTAGTCCCATGGTTTCCCTTCTACAGCATCACTTGTCTGTCGAAAAAATGGTTGACTTATCCTCATTGAGATGCTGCGGAACAGGTCATTTTTTCAGGATGTTTCGGTGCATTTGAGAGTTGAAAAAATGGAGATAAATTGAAGACATGAAATTCATCAGCAGAAATAGAGTCGAACGTTGAGAGATTGATCTGTAGCAGCAAACATTCAAAATTGGTGAGCCACAAGAAGCAGTAAAGGAAATCAATCAGGGGATATTGACCAACAGAAATGGACTCGAACCAAAGCATCAGAAAGATTCAGCCAGCGAGAATGATGTCGGTCGACGAGCCCCAATGTGGATGTAAGCACCAAACGGAACCACTGACTCACTGACCTTCTCCATTTTTTCGGTTGTTTGAGCTGGCAACATTGCTATTTCAGCATGGCTAAGATTAACAAATACCTCTATTGCAAGAAAACATTGCAATCACAACTGAGTTTAAACAAATACCTCTTTGGCAAGCCTGTACAAACATCCGAGTTAAAACTCTTTTGTCCGAACGGCAGTGAAAAAAACACCACCAAGAACGCCACAGTTACTTGATTCACTTTGGCATGTCAGTTCTGCACCGTTGCTGCCCCTATCACTGCATGTCGGCGCGTAGGCACGTAAAGTGAGACAAGGGGAATTGAAACTATCAAAATTTGGTCTTGCAGCTGGGCCAGCAACTAGAAAGGTGGAACGTCAGGGCATGATCCTTTTTTTTGCCCCAAGCACATTCTTTCCGTTGTAGTGGTCTATTGAGACTAGGTTTCTGCAGGGCAAATCCTTATTCTATGCACGCGCGCCAGGGCCATTTACCAAAACCAAACTTCCCCCATTTTTGGGCATCGCCCTGTTTTGATAGTGGTTGGCCAACCCCCCCTTGTTGACTAAATGGACTAAATCCGCATTCTTTCTGGCAAGGTCATGCATTGTTGGGTTCAACCGCCGCCTTTGTTGGTCAATTTCTTTTTCTTGTGGCCCAATCCCGAATTTGCATGACTGTGGCCAAGCGGGGCCTCCTAGATAGCTAAGCTGGATTAAAATTCAAATAGGTATTGTTTGCGATACTTACAGCATCTGCATGACTGCTGGGTTTGATGACACGCTCGTTTCATTGTGCCGCAGGCCTTGGGCTACGTTGCACGGATTGACTTGAAGCTGCTTGGGCTATATCGGTGGGTTTCTCATGTGGTTGTCCAATATCCAAACAGGGATGATGCGGTAGAGCCCAAAGTAGGTCCCATGATTTTGACCCGCAAAAAGCAGGATTGTGAAGTTATTTGTGTAGGTATTGGGACATATTTGTTTTAGTTCTGCCGCAGTACAACTGGAAAACGATTCGGACAGAAGCGGCTCAAGACTGAAGACGGAGATATCTGCGCGGTATGTGGAGGTTGCTACATGGTGCAGCTCCCATGGTCAGAGTTTTTTTTTTGGGTAGGGCAACCGCAAACAAAAAATATGACATACGGCCTTTTCTATACATTTCTTGGAATCTCCTCCGCCAACCCTTTTCTTCCCTTGGTGTAACATGTGTAACTATGTTCGTGCTGGTTTGGCCATTTCGTTCATACAATTCTTTTCAAATTTGTTTTCTTTCATGTTTTGTGAAACAGTTTGCGATCTTCCGCCTCACCTTCCCAAGCCCCCAAGCCTGGTGTGAGGATGGTGCCTCCGAACGCACGCGAAGAGTTGGAAATCATCGAGAAACTCAACGAGAACTTCAACCCAGAAGCCCCTGGAAAAACTGGCGACCTTTGGTGCCCTGGGAAATCACCTCGAAAGTCCCATGGCAAGATGATGTTTATCAAGTTGGAACTGGTAGTGTTTGCCAGGCCAAAACATAAGTGGAAATTGAACCAATAGGAAACCAACTCTGTAAAAACGGATGTCCGAAGTGCATTGAGTTTCAAAGGTAGGCTTTGTGAAGGGAAAAACAACACGGATGGATCGATCCGATCACTTTTTCCAAAAAGTCACATGATTCATTTTTAAGCCCATTATAATCCCATTATGATCCCATTATAATGGTTCTCATATAAATTCCATATTTGAAGCCAATTTTCAGCTGAAATCCTGCTGTGGAGATCCCCATTTTGCTTCGTCGAAATTTTCGGATGGCGAATGAGTTTTGGCCAGGTACTTGATTCCTGCTCGTTGGTGGAAACAATGGTCCAGCTCTTAGCCCAAGGAACCCAAGGATTTCATGATCCGAAGCTAACAGATAGCTGACCAGACCATCTAAGAGCTATTAAAAGTTCGGTCAATGGAAGGTGAAAATATGAAATGATGATAATTGAGATTTTTTTCCGCCTCGAATCCAAGACCAACCATTTGAGCAATAAGGAAATGTGAATTCGGATCAGACAAAGCCAAGCTACACCAATATAACCATTTATAAGCCTATTATAATCCCATTATAATCTCATTATTTCACTGCAACTTGGTATACCACCCTCGTGCCGTCGTGCCCGTCAAATTCGCCAAGCGTCGCCAAGCGTCCTGAGGTTAGAGTTCACATCCACGGGGACCAATTCAAGGGAGCAGGTCATGGGGGTACCCCCATAGCTGGATATCTATAAATGGAACTAGATATACAGTACCATTTACTTTAAATATGTATATATATATATGTATATATATATACAGTTCCATATTAAAGTATATTATACACATATATATATATATTTATATATATATGGAGTTCCACTTAAATATGGTATATATGGTACTATAAACGGATGATTGGGGTACCCCTAGTGCCGGTCACCTTTGGTGGGGTGTTACTCGGATTTTGCTGAGCCGTTTTGGTGATCTTCCCAAGTGCATGGGGATAGATAGATAGACAGAAAGACAGACAGACAGACAGATAGATAGATAGATTGGATTAGATTAGATTAGATTAGATTAGATAGACAGATACGTGTAGATAGATAGATGGATGGATGGATAGATAAATCCCCAGGAGTCTCCTCAGACCATCATCACCAGCAGCAATTTCATCGCGCGCAGGGACCTCCATCCATCGACAATACTGACTTGGTCGATGCCAGAAACTGAGGATGTTATATGGATGTACTCACTAGGATGTTATATGTTATATATGGATTTAATATGTTTTTTCATGAGATTGAACCAGCAATCACGGGAATATCATGGATATATATATATATATATATATATATGATGGGATATTATAGGATTTCGCCTTTGGTTATTGAACGGTTTGCGAACTGGAAAATAACCGTCTTTGATAGTTAAATAATCATAAACCATATGCACACATGGGATTTTCCCATGTTAAATTCATAACCAAAGCGAGGGATCCGCACCTGATATCGTGGTATGCTATCTGACATATGTATTATATATATACACATATTATGACATGTTAACTGTCATTTTTTTACGATGCATTTCAGACATTTCATCTGACATATATTCTGCGATTTTTATCTGACTTATACTTCTGCATTTTATTCGACATACATGAAGTTCAGACATTTTATGTGCCATATATTTCTGACATTTTATCTGACATGTATTCTGCGATTATTATCTGAGATACACTTCTGAGGTTTTATCTGACAGACTGTTTTACATTTTACCTGACATGGGGGCTGCGGAGTCGCTTGTGCCGGTGTTTTTGTTGTTTTTGGCTCGCTTGTGCCCTCGCCCCAAGTCCAATTCCCATGCCCCTCATGAGGTCAAGTCTTTGGAGGTACCCCAAGCAATCATCCATAGATGGATTTTCCATTATAAACCCTCCATTTTAAGGGATAGCCATATGAATGGAAACCTCCAAATATCTCCATGTAACTTGACCATGTCCAAACAGCATCCCTTCATTGAGGCGCGTGACTTTCTTCGGATCGGTCTGTCGGAGGGAGTGGATTATGAGGCCAGGTGATGACCGGTGACTAAGGGGCGATAGCCATGGTTACCCTACGGTGTTCATGGGATATACAACAATCAAACAATATAGTCATTTTTAACATTCATTCTCACGATCAATCATAGATCCCATCTACAATGTAACTTCTCTCCATGCTTCGCATTCATGCGACAGCGTGGTGCATTTAATTTTTATATTTATATAATTATTCTTTATCATACGCTTAGCTTCTAATTTCTTATAAATAAAGAATGTATACCCTCTGGTAAACAAACAAAAAGCTATTGAAAATGGCCATTTATAGTTGATTTACTCATTAAACATGATGATTTTCCATAGTTTTTTGTATGTTTACCAGAGGGTAATGATGGTCTGAACGGGGAAAATTTTCCACGGTGATCCGGTGATGATTTCATGGGAACATTCCCTGGGAATACCAGCCATGGGAATTAATTCCCTCCGGTGTCATCACACATGGCTAGCTGGGAAATCCCCTCTTGTAATTTAGTAATACTAAGTATTGTCAATAAATACTATTCATAGACTCATAGACTACCAAGCAATTTGAAGAATATCATATACCATTATATAATATATAGTTAATTTATGATGACGATTAATCTTAGTTAGTTAATCATCAATTTTTGTATTGTTTGTAGGATTTGACTTTTCTATCCTTTTGTATCCTTTTCGGGGTTATTAAATGTCAACAGGAACCGAGTCGTAGGTGGTTGACAATTGCGAAAATTGATATTAAGTAACCAAGTATCAAGAGCTATTGGAGTGATTATTGATAATTATACTTGATATAGTTTTTCATATTCATGGTATGATGTATGGGGTTGTTCGAACATTTGTCTGAAAACCCTGAACCTTCTCCATGAAATGGAAGAAATCACTTGGGGGTATAGCCAATTTTCAGACACTCCCATATATGAATAGTAGTGGTTGATAACAATAATATCAACAGGTATTATATATACCCTCTGGTTGTTTAACATAGCTATGGAGAATCACCATTTTTAGTAGGTAAATCATCACAAAACATCTATTTCTATGGGCCATGGCTTCCATGGCTATGTAACAAATAACCAGAGGGTATATATATATATCTGGTTGGTGGTTTGGAACATGAATTTTATTTTTCCATATATTGGGAATTTCATCATCCCAACTGACGAGCATATTTTTCAGAGGGGTAGGTTAACCACCAACCAGATATATCTACAGTCAGTGCCAGAATTATAGAACGGAGCCAGGAGGACAAAAGTACGGTAAAATACCGTACCTTTGTCCTCCTCCGGGTTCCGATTCGGAGCGGAGCCGGGAAATTTAATTATAGAACGGGGAGGAGGACAAAGGTACGGTATTTTACCGTACTTTTGTCCTCCTGGCTCCGTTCTATAATTTCTGGCACTGACATGATATTTACTGCATATTTGTACATATACAATCTATAAAATGAAGATTTAATGAGGATTTAATGGGGATTTGATGAGGAAATGAAGATAAAATGCAGATAAAATGAAGATTTGATGAGGAAACGATTATAAAATGAGGATAAAATGAGGATTTAATGGGGATTTGATGAGGAAATGAGGATAAAATGAAGATTTAATGAGGATTTAATGAGGATTTGATAAGGAAATGAAGATAAAATGATGATAAAATGAGGATTTGATGAGATAACGAGGATAAAATGAGGATGCTGTAACATGAGGATAATGGGAAATGTGGGAAAAATGGGGGAAAACAGAATTATAGAACAACAGGGTACGGTAAATAACCGTACCTTCGTACTCCTCAACTTCCGTTCTATAATTCTGTTTTCCCCCATTTTTCCCACATTTACCAGGTGATTTTCTTAGATTTCATGGTGCTTTTATAAGATTTCATGGTGATTTTATGGGATTTCATGGTAATTTTATGGGATTTCACGGTGATTTTCTTAGATTTCATGGTGATTTTATAGGATTTCTGGGACCCCGGAAGAGGTTCTATAATTCTATAATTAATTTTTCCGTTCTATAATTAATTTTTCCGTTCGACGGAAAAATTAATTATAGAACGGGGCCCGGGGAAAATTAATTATAGAACGAAAATGGGAAATGTGAGAAAAATGGGGGAAAACAGAATTATAGAACAGCAGCGCTCCGACAAGAATTATAGAACGACGAAAAAAATTAGGAGGAAGATCAGATACATTTTTTTTCATACCTTCCGAGGAAAACAGAATTATAGAACAACAGGGTACGGTAAATAACCGTACCTTCGTCCTCCTCAACTTCCGTTCTATAATTCCGGCACTGACCATATATATATATATATTAACCATCATTAACCATATAATTACCATATAATAACGATATATTAACCATTATTAACCGTATATTAACCACATATTAACCATCAAGAGTGACACTGGTGACGAAATTTTGGACACTTGGTGATTTCGCGAAAAAATGTGGATCTTAGAACGAAACTCGGCGCTTTATGATACCCTCGGTTGTGAGTTCACCAAGGGCCCTGCCATCTACTTGTGCTAAATGTAGGGAATTTTCGGGAATGATCCACTGGCTAACTATCAATAATCATCCCAGCAACCCCCAGCAACCCATCCAGCAACCCTACGTTTAGCACCAGTAAGTTTATGGGGCTTGGAACATGAGTTTCCAATAAAAAACTGGACATGTTCATTGTCTATGTTCATTTACCAGGGGGAAATTATCCCATTTTTTTACTTCCATGGAATCCCAATGACGATAGTGAATGTATCCCATTTATAGTTCCAATAAATCCCCATAAACCATGACATATCATATCAATCCCCATGGTTACCCTCGGTAATCAAACATGACAATGGAAAATCACAATTTATAGATGATTTCCTATGAATATTCCCATTTGCAGGGAATTTCCCCTTGCAATGTTTGATTGCCTGAGGTTATCCCATTTGTAAATCTCTATATATATATATATACAGTATACACATTATATTTCGTGTGAAAGAAATTCCATTATGGTTGCGTCCCTACAAAATTACGGGTAAATCCCTCAAAAAGATCCCACTCAATCTGTATCAAATTGTCAAAGCCATAAAACCATCAAATCCACATAAAACCCCAATAACATCACAACCGGTTGTTTGGAACCATGGAATCTTATGACTTTCCCATCATATTGGGAATTTCATAATCCCAACTGACTTTCACTCCATCATTTTTCAGAGGGGTAGGTCAACCACCAACCAGCAACAAATCGGTATAAAAATCTCTGAAACCATTGAATCCCGAGCCACGCGGCTCGAGAGCGGCTCGAGCGCGGGACCCTTTTGCGTCAAGTTTTCCAAGGCCTGGGGCATATGTTGGGCGGGATTTTTCCAGCAATGGTGAACCCCCGTGATGGCTCGAGATCCCATGAAATCACCTATTTGTTGTTTGTGAAATGAAATTAAATCACCAGTTTTTGTTGACTAAATCTCATGAAATCCAATCTTTTGATGTTTTTTGTTTGTTAAATCCAAATGATGAATTTTTGTTGGTCACATCCCATGAACTGGCTCCCCATTTCTGCTTGAAATCCCAAGTCTGAAGACAATACGGTCATTTTTTGCAGGGTTGTGTAGTAACCAATCGTAACTCCCAACAAAGATTGGACACTTATAAGCCTGGAAAATTTCTGGGGAACTATCACCTATACCATCCTGGAAACACTTTTCCATAGTTTTTTTGGAGGGCTGCACTTGGAACTACAGAAGTTTTCGTTGATGCTGTCTGATTGTCCCAATGGTCCTAGGTTGTGTGGTGAATAAGTCACCGGGGCCATCACATTTATACCTGTGCAACTGAACCACACAGCAGTTACTCATCAAATGGAGGTTTCCTGAGTCATGGGTAGTACCCTCAAATCATCCATTTATTGATGGATTTTCCATAAACCACCCATTTAAAAGTATCATTTATTTTTTGCAAATCTCCAAATATACTATTTAACTGCAACATTCCTTACATTCCTCACCAGCTATTTAAAACTAGACGACGGTTGGCCCGAGAGCGAAAAACACGTTTTTCAAGCAGCTCTGAGTATGGTAGTCGTAAAAAATAGTCGGTGAATGGTTGGTGAATTTTATATGAGCTATGGAGGGATAAGTTGTGAAAAGTAAGATTGATTAAGAAGAGGATACATGTGACAACCCATGCATATGCGCTGTGCTGCTTGTTATAAAGGGCATCATGTGACACTTGTCTTGCAACCACAGAGAGATATAGATAGAGAGAAAGGGAGAGAGAGAGAGAGAGTGAGAGAGAGAGAGAGAGAGGGAGAGAGAGAGCAGGGTCTTCTGTTGTTAGTATTGAGACACTATATTGCAAGACAATATATTGAAGATGTATTATAGGCAGGCGAGACAAGTATTATCAAGACAGTATATTACAAGTACAATTCTTAAGACACTAGTTTGCATCGTATCCTTCGTTTTGTTTTTCACACACAGAACCTTTTACACACAGACGCTTTTGCACAGAAGCTGTTACACACAGGAGCTTTTACATACAGAGACTTTTACACACAGACGCTTTTACACACAGACGCTTTTACACACAGACGCTGTTACACACAGAAGCTTTTACACACAGACTCCTGTACACACAGACGCTTTTACGCACAGGAGCTTTTACACACAGACGCTTTTACACACAGACGCTTTTACACACAGACCCTTTTACACACAGACCCTTTTACACACAGACACTTTTACACACATACGCATTCTTTTACACACACACACACGCTTTCTTACACAGAGGCTTTTACACACGGACGCTTTCACAGAGACTTGTACACACAGACGCTTTTAATTACACACAAACGCTTTTACACACAGACGCTTTTACACACGGACCTTTTACACACAGACCCTTTTACACACAGACGCTTTTTACACACAGAAGCTTTTACACACAGACGCTTTTACACACAGAGGCTTTTACACACAGACGCTTACACAG